CAAGAGCCTCTTGTTATCTGGCGTATCCGGATCGAATGTGAAATCATCTCTCAATACCTCAACCATGAGAAGATATGGCACCTTCTCTGCACTGTTCAGCACTGTCGACTCTCCTGGATTCAGACGAACAATTCGATGGTGCCGACTTTTTGCTGGGGATCCGTCCACCAGGGTAGGTGGGCAAATAACCGGAACGTCCACTTCCGCCGGCAGGTCTTGCGCTATGAGGGCCAGCTCCGCGCGGAGAGCACTCAGCCGAGCGGGTTTTGGCACGATTACAAGCCTGTTGGAGATGCCTTCTAGCGCGGTCAGGAATTGCGTCTCACATCTAAAGTAGTGTTGGCGCAGTAATCTTGTCTTTTGCAGCGATGTCAAGTCAGAACCGGCGGCACCGCTCTTGAAGTGAAGGGAATGTCTCCTGTTCAGAGCATCGTTAGGGCGTGGGGGAAATCCTGCCGATACTGGTGTTGCCGGTCTCGTTATGGCCAGCCTCGGGGAACGTAGCTCAGGGAGAGGTAGCGAAGAGGAGCTGAGACGGGCGTCATCGTTCTTCATGTTGAGATGAGGCGGAAGACGCTTGACTTCGATGGGGGTCTTGGAGCCAGAGGAACCTGGCCGAGACGGAGATGGATCCGTCGACCGATGCTGCAAGTTGGACGACGCGACGCCTGGGGATACCAGATCCGGCGCGCTGACCATCCGCCCGCCATCTTTCGTACGCCTAGACCTCGTGCTCCCAGCCGTCACCGTGTGGGCTCGCGTCACCTGCGCTGTCTTGGGGTTGCTATCTCGAGAATCGGATATGATGTCGTCGGACGGCTGAGGCTTCCTAGCCTGTGCCACGGCAAGTGGTCCCGCCCACTGTGGGACTAGTGGCACCGCGACACTGGCCAAGACGAAGCTCGCCAGGACCGTGACGGGTAAGATGTTCTCCTTGATCTTATCGTGCCTCGCAGCATCTGGCAGGCCGAACACAATATGCTGCACCTTGTTGTATACCCTCCGGCATGTTTGAAAGGCCTTGGACGACGGATTGGACGATAGATCGTGTAGGTACGTCTGGAATAACCAGAAGGTCTAGGAGATTGTGAGCGAATACGGCAGCGCAACAGCGGGGAGACGAAACAAACCAGAAGTGCAGCGGTGACGGACTCTTGGCACAAGTCCAGGAGGAACTCCTCCAAGGCCATGGACTCGTTGTCGACGCTGATTATTAGGTGGCATAGCTGCGGCAGGAAGAACTCGATATCCTCGTAGGGGAATTGTCGCAGCTTATTGCACAGGACATAGTGAATGCCCACATGGTCGGCGTAACGACTAGAGGAAGGAAAGATCAGGGGTTAGCAGAGAGGTCGTTCCAATTGCCAATTACCGAAACAAGCGCCAATTGAGAGCATAGCGCATGACGGCGACGGGTGGGCGCAAGGGGAGGGTCGCTCACGAAAGGTAAGAGACCGAGAGAAAGGGGTTCGAGTTGAAGACGTCGGACTCAAGGAATCGCTTGAGCAGGTCCCACGACATTGGTTACGCCACGGAGCGGAATGAAGGATGCAAGTGCAGCGAGGCTCGGTGCCTCATTTGATCATGGACATGAACGGGATTCGCAGGTCGAGGGATGGTTTCGCATGGCGGGAAGCTCAGAAGACTTGGGAGAATTGTTCGAGCAGTCGCAGCAGGGCACGCAAGAGGATGGGAGACAAGACGCCCAGGTACACACGGTGGCCGGTTACTCGATGCAGATAGGTAGCTCCCTCTCCGCCGTGAATTGGATGTCGATTTGTCCACTAATCTGAGGGCATGACTTGGAAGGTGGGAGGAATGCCCCATGCACGACCCGCCGTTTCCCAGTACTAGTGCCTAAAAATTCTGGCCTCAAATTAGACTACGTCGCCGGTTACCTCAGCGAGCATGAACCTTGGCTCATGGTGCCGGTGCCGCTGAGAGCGGGAGCCTCTGAGGAGGGGGCCAGCCGCACCTTGAGAGTGCCGGACCCGAGAGGATCAAGGTCGTGCGCTAGGACGAATGGGGGCGACGGCCAAAACCCCTGTCTGCGGGGCATCATCGTTTTATCTGCATATGTGACGTTATTTGCATTCGATTCTTGAGTTCCCTTTCTGAATTTCCAGTGGTGAGATTTCATTATCATGTTGAACCTATGAGGCGAGAGTCTCATTGACAGAGAGGGCAAAATGGAGAATGTCACTCGATAAATGAAGCGTGCTCTGGCAACAATGTCAAGCCCAAGTGTACCACACAATAAGGTACGAATAAAATACAGCCACCTCATATGAGCAGGGTGTCTTTGAGTGAGCGGAAAGTGAGTTCCACATGAGACGTCCCCTGGTGAAGGTACCTACCACAGCCAGACGCTTCAAGGCGCAGCTTGTCATCATCCCGTGCACATTATGAGAGGAAAGGTGTGCAAACGATAAAATGCTTCCATTCTAAAATCGTAAGAAGACTTGTCCAAGACAGGCTCGATGCGCATACAGAAAGACAAGCCGTCCATGGCATGCAAGTCGAGGAAGCAGCGCTTGTTCCTCCGTTCCATAAGGTAAACCATGTAATATTTCCCCCCAGGTGCGGCTCGACGAGTGTATCGCCGTGTCACCCAACGCCAATGTAGATGCTAGCCAGTCCAACGCCAATCCTCATAACCCTTTTCATATTTCTCATCATGGGAAATTTCCTTTCCCTTCTCTTCCCTCGCCTCAAGACCCAAGCTGAACATGAGAAAACTCATGCAGCGGCCTTCTTCTTACGGCCGCCCTTGCCCTTCTTCTTCGTCTCAACTTCCATTTCCTCGTCGCTTGACGACTCAGCCTTGGAGCGGCCACCTCTCTTCTCTTCGTCGCCAACCTTTGCAGCAATGTCGGCCAAGAAGTCATACTGGCCATCTGTCTCGATGACCTGCTTGAGCATCTGAGCCGTGACACGCTTGGAGTTCTTCTCCCGCGCGATTTCGGCACTTCGGCTGACAACAGCAATCATGAACATCTCGAGAGCCTTGCCAACAGCAATGGGAGTCTGCTGGGCGACCTTGCCAACCTCCTCATCAGCCTGCATGATACGCTTTATCCTGGCTGTGGGGAACTTTGTCCGAACGGGAGAAGGGTCAATTGGAGGTGGCGAGTCAGCCTGCTTTGTGTTCTTTCTGGGAGGCATAGTTGCTGAAGCTGGTGTTTGTGGTAGATGTTGTGTATCTGGGTTGTACGGGATATCGTGTAATTGGGGTGCTCCGCCAAAGTTTTTTTGGTCTAGAAATCCTTGGCTTTGAGGTGTTTTGGGCTGATGAGCTTGCTGTTCCTGGTAGTTGAGAACGGGCTGTATCCCATAGGCGCTTTGCATATGTGGTGGGGGATATTGCGGAGATGGGTGGTTGTGTGGCGGTGACTGGTGGTGGTATTGAGGAGATAGGTAATGTTGGTGGTGTTGGTGCTGCTGCTGCTGCTGCTGCTGCTGCTGCTGTTGTTGCTGAAGCGGTTGGTACTGGTGCTGGTGCTGACCTTGGTGGTGGTGGGGTTGTAGCGGTGGCTGATAGGAAGAGAATTCCGTTTTGATTGCCGCTGGTGATGGGAAGTGGGGCTGCTCTTGTTTGATGTGAACAGGAGTAGAAGATGACTGGCTTGGGTGGTGAATGCGTGCTGAGGGGGAGGAGTATTCATATACGGGCGGTGGTGCAGCAGACGCAGACGGAGACGGAGAGGTTTGGAGCTTGCTCAGTTGTTGCTGGTAGTGCTGCAGACTGTGAGTGCGCAGTGGAGGTGTAGGCGGGGCGGGTGCTGCCGAGAAAAAAGAAGAGAGGTCCGGCGACTTTGGTGCGTAGGTCGTGTCGTCCGCCATTTTTATTACTTTTTTTCCCCTCTACCTCCGGCCCTGCTGGAAAAATTGATGGCCGCTTTTTTTTTTCAATTTGGAAGTGGAGGCCAAACGACAGGGGGCCTTGGCTGGTGCCCCGAAAAAAATTGGCCAAGGTTCCAATCCAAGTTTGGCTGGCGTGGGACACTGGATGATTAAGCGAAGGGCAGGGACTGATTTTTGAGTACAAAAGCCAGCCTACACCCCCACCTCTACCTTGTCCGCGGTTGCGACACCGTTTGCTTTAGCAGGAATAATCTTGCAATGGTTGTGTGATTGCGTCTAATGATGGATATGTTCCGTATTCAGTCGTTAAGTGGGTATATGTCCAGGAAAGTACGGCGTATAAGTCCTGATTCAGGCGTGGGCTGCTACGTGCGGTGAAAGGAATGACGGTCTGTTCTACCGTCATATATCCTTGGGAGTCAAAGGTGTAAAGGTCCGACAGACGTACGGCCAATCCAAGTCACGTCGAGAGTGACAGTAAATCGAGGCAGAGTATTGCTGCGAAGCTCGGTTTGAATATTGAACACAAGGCGAGACAGAGCGCAATCGACTTGTGAGAAGTGTGGGTGTTTTGCGTGTGTAAGGCAGCCTCGGCCAACGTGTTGGGCAGCGCTGCGATACAAGAGCAAATGACGAAGAGATGAGATCAAAGCCAATAAACGGCCTACGACATGAGGGATTCGTAGTATCCTCAGTACCCTAGCCTGTTTGCAACAGTGTACCGGACCTAAACGGTGGATGGCAGGATGTTGAGTAGGACTGTCCGGATAATTGCTTTGCAAACTTGCAAGTCGAGGTTAAAACTGCGTCCCAGGTCCAGCAAAATGAACCGGCCACTTGCAGTACAGAGAAGATCCAGGCTCACTGGGCTCTCAGTGAGTCTGCGTGGATATCGAGACCCAACGTCGCAACTGGCCAATCCTGGTATTGCTTCGGATGCAGTCTACGTATGCCAGACCGCGTGAGAGTGAGAGACTCAGTGTGGCCTGAGGGGGTGATCAATGCCGACTGACGTCGGGAGCGTGGCTGTGACACAAGCTTGTCCGAGATGTTGTTATGCCAGATAGGTGATCTACTGATCCAAGGTGTGTAAATGGCGTTTTTGCTGAGTCAGACCTGGAGACTTGGAGTGACACTCAATAAGGTTTCGGTGTGTCTAGCGAGCCAGGGGTGAAGGGAGTTCTGTAAGCTTGGGGCTTTCGGGGTTCAGTCCTGGGGCGTGCGACGGCGTCAGGCGTTCCTGTGCGGGGCAGCAGCGGTACTTTCGGAAGCGGCCTGATGCTCTGATATAGTGGTGGGAGGTGTTCAGGATGGGGGAAAGGGGAGGTTGCGTTTGAACGGGATTGTAAAGTGAAGTTATGTACGGAGTAGGAGAAGGAGGAGGATTTGTTGGCGTTGATCTTTTTCCAAGATCCAGGTGTCAAGGTTGACTCAATACAGCCTCAAAGTTGACATGCGTCCATCGGGAAGGATGCAGTCGGTCTGACAGGCAGACGAGGCAAGGCCAGGCGGCAAGTAGGTAAGGTAGGCGCAGACACACAAAAGTACAGGGAGGCACAATCTGGGCGCAAGCACACCAAGTGTGCACCTTCTCGCAACCTGCCCTGGAAATTGAGGTGGTAGATGGGCTGGAACGAATGGGAATGATTGGATAGGAAGGACACTGAATGGGAGGGAAAGAGCGACGGCCGTGGGACGATGCGACGGGTCGAGAACCTGCGGAGGGGCGGACGGCGATGCGGTGCGGTGGTGCGGTAGGTGCGGGTGCGGTGCGGTCGGTGGCAGGTGCAGCCAGCGGCTGGGTGGGCTCCTTCTTTTCGCGGTGTGCGGGTTCCTTCACTCCTAGCGATGGATCACGGTGGGAATGTCCACCGTTTATATGCGCGTCGCGGGTCAGAGCTCCTTCCCAACTCCCCTTTCTTGCTGCCCTCTGCTTTCCCCCCAAAAAACACGCCTAGGCAGGGGTCACGCTGCTATGCTGATTGGGTCAGGATGCCCGAGCTGTGGCCACGCCTTCCCAAATCCTGCATGAGCACAGCCGCTAGTCCCCTGCTTGACGGCCTCTGTACCTTTCTGTGCTAATTAAGCTCTGTTGGTACCTGCCTGGCCATCCACCTTCCTTCCCTCAGGGAGCACGGAAGGTAAGGTATCTTCAAGGCGTCCCGAATGTTCACATTGCGCCCACGTCGGCACGTCCTTCTCCAGTTCCATTTCTTGAACAACGCTTCTTTTCTCCTTCTCCTCCTTCTTCTTCCTCTCCCAACCTACCGGCATCTCTTGAGTCATCCTGTTCGCGCCCAGGAATAGTCGCACCTCATCGGCGTCATCACTAACTTCGTCACATGGTCGATGTCTCCCCCTTCGTCCCAGCTTACCGCCGCATGTCGCAACCTCGCAGACGTAGCTGCATCTCGAGGCGCGAAGTAACGTGAGGCAGGCTGAAAAGGATGGCTCAACCGAAGCAAGGTAGGCCACGGCAGGCTGGCTGATCTCTTTTACCGTCTCAGCTCCAGCTCCCATCATGTCGTTTCGGCCCCTGTTTTCAGATTCTAGACCTGGCATTTGCGCAACCTTGGACTTCGAGAAAGTCTTGTCTCGTTACTCTTCATTCTCGATATGCCTTTATACCTCGTGGCCCTGACCTACGTACGAGCTTGCTTTGTCTTCATGAGACACCCAACATCGTCGAACCCCGCCGCCATCTGCCCTCAATGCTGCCTGGAGCTGGCACCCTCCCTGCTCCTTAGGCAGACGAGCTCTTTCTGCAGCGCGCCATCATCAAGGAACCCCGTCGTCCGAAAAAGATGTTTTCTGTCGCAAAGCCGTCGCGCTCCTCGACTCGTCAGTGTTTGAACCACACATGACCTCATCCGAGACCCACCACAGCTCCCTGCCCGTCTGAGCTTTGCGACGGCACCTCGAGTGAATGGCCCCCCCCCCCCCGTCTAGGTCGCCAATCGCCCTTCCCGCCGAAGCGACTTTGCAGTGGGGCCACCTACGAAGAACTTATCTGCATCCTTCAACGCGTCTTCGCGAAATGTTTGTCAACGTTTTTCTGAACAGATATCACCCTACCACCGTCGTAATTTCCTGTCGGCGGACGGCCCGGTATGCAGGAACGCAACTCAATCATGCAGGTAATCAAACCACTAAATTCTATTATTTATACCATATCCTATTGGTGGCCAGGGATGAAGATAACGAAGAGAAACAGCTGGAGACCACCCCAAGAGGCCACAACTGTAGAAACCGAGTTATCCCAACTCAGGTTTCGAGGTTGGCGTGCCTCGGTCTATGACAGTTTTTACTTGATCTAATCAGACTTTTTTCTAAAAACAGCAATCTGCCTTTAATAGGCTTTCTACTGGATGTGTTTTCTGATGGCTGACGTGAGTGTCCGCAGACCCTTGAGTCTCTTGTCTTCGGTGCTTGACAGGAATAACGAAACAACGGGCCAGGCGTGTATCCCGCCATCCTCGCTACGACTGTCGACCTCGGTACTTTTGACCAAGACGTTAATCAGGTCCTTGATGTCGGGTGCGAACACCTCTTCTGATCCGTACGTGATGAAGAAGCCACAAAGTGGACTAGCTTCCGCCCACACCCGAGGATCGGCGCACTGCCCAGGCGACGCGGTCTTGTCGTAGACATGCGCTGCCCCAGCATACTGCACCGCGTATTTCCATAGCGTGTCGCGATCCAGAAAGTCGCTGGCCGTATTTTCATGCTTGTTGGAGATGAGCTTGGCCCACGGCGAAATCAAGACGCAAAGCCCTGGAAGCGGGGACTCTGAGGCTTGACGCAACTGCTCCTGACTTCGACCTTCAGATGCGGTGGAATCGTCACTCTTTTCCTTGAATGCCCGGGCCTCGTTCATGTGACCCAGCTCCAGCAACAGCGTCAATATCAGGGTTGCTCCCGCTGAGTCTCCTGCAACGACCACCTTCCGAGGGTCTCCAACTTTTTTCAGGACATGCTTATAGCCCCTCAAAGTCTCGTACATTTGCCTTGGGTACATTTTATCGGGCACGAGGGTGTACTCGAGAGAGAATATGGCAGGGTTCCGGTAGCCGGCTTGGACGAGTAACGAGTGCCACGACAGAAGAAACTCGAGATAAAAGTAGGCGGAGCCCATGGCGAAACCGCCTCCGTGGGCGTAGTATACCACAATATCGGGCGGTTGCGACGCATCCTTTTGGATCCAAACCCCTTCGAAGCCGTGTTGGCCCTATCATTCAAGTCAGCCACCGGCCATTGTGCACTGAGATGTAGGTTACACTCACCTTTTCCTTGTGCTCACTCCAGGTCGCAGGTGACCTGAGATAGCCATGCCGCAGCATTCGAAACCGCAGAAACGGCAGAGATATGTACTTTGAAAAGAAGACACGTCCAATATTGGTTGGCAAGTTTGCAAAGGCGTAACGCACGCAGCGTATGACTAAATCTTCGAAGAAACTCGCGCGCTGCACAAAAGGCGACTGCTCATCGTGGCTGAGTAGATATCGCTCGTGGAACAGGGACGTCGGCAGTTGAAACACGAGAAAAGGCAGCATCTTCAGAGTGACCACTACCGTTGGGAAGAAACCGACATTGATGAGGAGCTGCGGCGTCAGGAAGATGACAAAGACCAGACAGTCGAGCAGTGATACCGGTCCGAGGATCATGGTGGGCGGCGATGCTGCAATTGTTGCACCGAACCGTGGGCCGACTTATTATTCCAAGCGTGACGTTACGTAGATTATAAAATTGCGGTGCAGAGGTGGTCGTATTGTATCAGAGGCGCCAATTGGATTTATCGTGAGCCACAGGACAAATCTGGAAGAGAGGAAGAAAAGGAAATTGAGGATTGAAGCAAAAACTGAGGTCGATGGTAGGAGGGGAGCTTGTCTCCAGATTAATGGTTTCAAGGTTGTAGCTTCGGACTTCTCTCGATAGGCACTACCTTGAGCCATTCCATCCCTCCCTTGGCCGCCCAAACAATCGATTTCCCACGGCGTGGGCTAATGTAAGACTGAGAAACGAGAAGCTTTTGGCTTTCTTTCGTGACGTCTTCGAGGTTACGGAAGGCAGTCCCCAGTGTCCGTGCCTGCTCAGACACTACCTACTACCTGGTGCGGGGGGCGGCGCACACTTGTTTCCTGAGCTTGATGGTTTGTTGGGGAGAGCTGGAGCTCTTACCTAAGGTAAGGTGCCGAGCACCGGTTTAACCCATCCATTTTCATTACCTTGGTCGGGGATGGCGACCGGAGCATGTCAGCACCTGCCGCGACATTTCCATGTCTACATTTTCTGGTTGTAGTGAGACCAACCCAGCGAGGAGGAATTACCCAGACCTTGGTAGATCTGAATCAGACGTCCATCTGGATCAAGGAAAAGCGAATGGCAGCGAGCAATGGGGTGCGGAACCTTCCATGTCATCCCTTGTTGGGCTTTTTGGCTCGTGATTGTGGAACAAGTATTTCACCACATACAACTTGGTCATGTTTAGGAAAGAGTGCAATCAGCATCCCTTTTCCCCTACAAGAGGTCATGGGGGTTGGCCAGTTGGCGTCGCTTCAAGAAAAAGGAGTCCCTTCTAGCAATATGAATTACTCTTTTTATTTCAAAGGTACTCGATACACTCTCATGCCCCCGGGAAACCGGTATGCCCTCCTCGCTTATCCCATAAGCTAGAAAACGCCAAAATAGTTCATGCTCACATCCTAGCCGGACATCGACAGAGTAGAGAATTGATGAGGGTTGCGTGAAAGGAGGCAATATCTCAACCTCCGCCCTCGTCTCTTTTGACCTCCCCTCCGTATTCTCTGTTTCTTGCTTGGGGAGGCTTTTTTTTTTTTTGCATAAAACACAACACCAAGACGCCTTCGTCAATCCTGACCCGCACACGTACAGTACTCACACATCATCCACGCCATGGTTCCTCAACCCCCCGTACCGCGCCACCCCTGGAATATGACCATATCTCTCATCTGCTTCTTCTTCACTCATCCCTTCTTCCTCTTTGCGTAGGAAAAAAAAAAACCGATAAAAAGACTACCGCTTGGCATTCCGCGTCTTCCAATTATCCTTGATCCCCTTAGCCGCCTCCGCAAGATCCTTCTCCGTAACCCGGTCCTCGATACTCTCCATGACGCTCTTGATGGTAGAAATGTGATTCGCCTCCGACTTGTCGTCGCGAAACCGGATAATCCGCCACCGGCCCAGGTCGTCCTTGTGACACTCCACGATGCGGTCGTTGAGCGGGTCCCCGAGTCCCTTCAACACCTCCCACTCCTCCTCGGTAATATGCACCTCGTCAAAGAACTGATACCGCCCGTCCCCCATAAAACTCCACAGCTCCGCCCGCGGCACGGCCTCGTAGTCCACAAAGGGGCCCTCGGCCTCCTCGTCCCCTTCCCCCGGCTGCACCGTAGGGAACGTCATCCGCAGCCGGCAGTCGACCGTGTTCTCTTCCGGCGGCTTCCACTTCAAGATGTGCGGGTCGGTGCCGTGCTTGTACTCGCTACTGACGCACGTGAAGATGAGCCCGTCGTTGCCGTGCCTCAGCTTGGGCAAGATCTCGCGAAACATCATCTCGATGCCGTAGCTCAGCTGCATGGCCTTCATCTCCACCAGGAACGGCTGGAAATCCCGCTCCTCCGGGTACTGCTTGAACAAGTCACGGTAGGGCTTGTAAATGTTCTCGTTGAAGTAGGCGAGCCGCTTGTCGAGCGTCCGCGACATCAGATCCTGTCCGTCCAGCACGAGGCAATCAAAGACGAGGAACCGCGGCTCCTTTGTGCCCTTTCCCGTGTCGTCCATGACCAGCTCGCCGTCGATGAGCGTGCGCGTGTGGAATTTGGTCAGGTCGTCCTTGCGCGGGAAGTGGAAGCTGCTGTTCTTGATGAACCAGTAGTCGTTTTTCCGGTCGATTAGGTAGTGGATCTCCCGGCCCTCGTCTTCCGTGAGGTATAGCAGGTACCGGATGCCGTCTGACTTTTCGCAAACATAGTAGCTGTTGTCGCGCTCGCGAGCGCGTTAGTTGTCAGCGAAAAGAGTTGCGAATCACCAATTCCTCCCAGCCTCCGTTTATCATGGTTCCGGTAGCCAAAGGCATTCGCCGAATAAACGTGTGCAGAGGCTGGAGCCTGTATGAACGGCGCGACAAGGAGCACTCACTCTCTATTCCGTAACTCATCGACGTGTTTCCGCGCGAAGCTGACGGGCTGCGCGCCGGGGAAGCTGGTCTGGTTGCGATGCAAAAGATTGGCGACCTCGCGGCGCAAGTCGAACAGCAGTTGACCGTCGGCCTTGATGCCCGGTTCTGCGATCGAGGCAATCGGGCCCTCGGGAGGCGGACCCTGTACGCCATCCATGGTTGCGGATGGACCTTTTTTTCTGGTGTTGCGCAAAAGGGGGAGAGAAGGATGTACAAGTCGGTTTCGGTCCTCCGTTGGTCTAGGTAGCCTCGCGACACCAAAGTCTCGGAGCTTTATCGGCCTCTTATCGATAAGGCACAGAGATAAGACCGCCCGTGCATCAACACCGTCTCTGTGGTCTCTCAGAATTCACATCCTGGATAAATGAGCTCTTCACAGGATTCGAAGGCTCTGCCTAAAACAGATACCTCTTACAGCCTCATCGACAAGGCTTGCGAGAGAGATCCAGCCGCTCATTGAGGCCAACTCTGTGACCAACGAGGCCAAACACTAGCAAACGTGACGTATTTCGAGTATAGTACTTTGAACTGAGTTGATTAATTGCCTTTCACTATCCCATGACTTTTACGAATGTCGAATCCCTCGTAAACGCCAAATGAGTCTTGCTTGTCCCACGTCAGCCACCCGATAGACTCAACGCCTCATCAAATTATTGGAAACAGCTCGAGGCCTCTGAGCCCTGTCTGTTTTGATATCATTGCGCGTTTTCCCTTTCTCCCTAATGAACCAAATATACCCTCAACTTTCGTCAATCTTGGCGACCTCGGCTTTGGCATCCTCCCAGGTCTCCTTGTTCTTCTTGGCCCACTCAATTTGGCTCTTGGCATAAGCCAGCTGTGATAAATCGGGTCAGCACGGTATCGCTCCTAGTACTGTACTGATCAATCAACTTACCATGTAGCGACGAAGGTCCTCTTCCTTCTCTCCCTGGAATCTCTTTAAGTCCTTCAAAATGCTTGCGCTAGCCTCCTTCACATCATGCTCAGAGACCACTTTGGCTTGCTCAAGCTGCTCGATGCTCTCCCTTGTCTTTCCAATCATGTCACGACGAGTTCTCTCGGGGTCGACGTCAGCTACACCTTGAATAGCGTGACGAATCGGTCCGAAAATCTTGTTCGTGATTGAGTTGCTGCTCGCGGCCTTCTTATGGCCTGGAGTTGAGTTGCTTCTCTGTGGGACACCCTGGGTCGCGGTCGGGACCGGCTCGCCATGGGTAGGAGGGAAGTCGGAGTCGATGGAAGCTGTGTCTTCGGCACTGCCCTCGCGCTGATGGTGTGATGTGTTAGCCTCTCTAAGGCTTGTAGACCGCTTCGGCGCTGGCGCAATTTGCTGGCTGCTGCTGAGATATTGCTCGATGCGCTTGGCCTCTTGCTCGCTGCGCTCTAGTTGGTCCAGCAGCGCAATCTTCTTGCTGAGTTCGTCGCTAGTCTGCTCTTGCTGTACCCGCTTGAGCACCCTGTACTTCAGCACGCTGCGAACAACACCTGCGAACTGCGCATTCTCTCGCATAGGCTCTGCGAAACTGGCACCGAGAGATCCAGAAAGCTCCTCAGTAGCGATGTAGGAGGAGTCGGCCGCCTGTCCCACTCTCTCGAGGGCAGGGCCCAAAGAGGGTGCCTGTTCTGATAGCGCAAACGCATTAAACTTGGAGCCCAGTTCGCAAAGATCGGCGGCCAGTGCAGACAGGTGGCTCAGGGTCCGACGGTTGACCTTCTCCATGGACCCCGACAACAGTTGCTCCAGTTCCTTGATCGATGCCTCATATGTGATGAAGTAAGGGTCAAGTTCTTGCTCGCTCAGGGTGTGGCTGTCGGGGGGGAATCGGCCAAAGACATGGGACCCAGTTCCAGCGATCGCGCCGGGATCGACACCAGGGCCGCCCGTCGTCTTGAGCTTAGCGGAAGCTGATGGTACGGGAAGGAAGTTGTGAGCAGGTGTAGGGTTCGCAGGATCCAAAGGTGGCGCCTTCAGGACTGACTTGGGCACTGAGGCGACTGGATGAGAGTGGAGGACCTCACTCTGCGATAGATCAGCTACCGGATCACTGTGGAGAAGATCTTTTCAACTTACCCAGCTAGCATTGGGGTCCAAGAATCTCCACCAAACACCGTCTGTTCGGATCTCCTCCATGCGGCGGCATCGATTCAGGAACACGGCAAGCATGCGCTTGCGCAGGTCGATAATCTGCTGATCTTGCTTTGCGCTCGTAGGGTTCGCGGCGTAGTCTGCCATGGTATGCTTCTCGGGGATTGGGGGTATAATCAGGGTGGGATGCAGCCGGGTCAATGCCTCACGCAAAGACGCGAATTCCGAGTATCGTCGGCGCACTTCGAGGTTCTATGGAACAGTCAGTACCCCAACTATCGAGGGAGCGATCCATCGCACAGCCACATACGCCTGTCCGGATGGTGTAGACAATGTATTTTCCACCGCTCTCCGCGCTCTTTCCTGCATCAGTAATGAGA